TTTTTTTTTTTTATTGCATATCTGGTTTAATGAATAATTATAACTGTTCTGTACAATCATCACAAACGTATATATTATGTGTTAGTTGTTGAAAGAATTACTAACATTATTTGCCCATTTAGAATTCTTTTTTTCCACATTATATGAGCTTATTTAAAACAATAAACTCACTACTTCTCTATTTTCAAAAGTATCAATAATAGTAATACATCAATACTTTAATTAAACTAAAAAGCACATACTTGTAGTTTTAATTTCTCTTGTAACGGTATTATCAATCCATTAAGTCCGTTCATTTAACAGTTTACAAGTTTTATGTAAAAGAATTTTTTAAATGGAACCTAAGTAATATTTAATTTGTCTACATAAATTTAAATTATATTTCTATAAAATAATATCCGTCTAAAGAATGAACGATAACATAAATAATCGATCATAATATTTACTGATTGGAGTATTGTGATAGTAATGTCAAATGGTTTCATTTGAAATTTTCTTATATTATAAACTTAGTCATATAAGCTTGAAATCATTAATCAATCATTCTTTTAAAATTCTTAAACAGTATTTAAAATTGTAAAACAGAAATAATCGCATCACTTGTGATAGTTTCGAGTACAGCTCGAATTCTAGTTGCCTTAATGCACTAATAAATCAATAACTGTTTGGTAACTATTTTATACCGAGATCTTGTGTATTAGAAATTGAGACCTGTTTATACGGAGGTGCTCATGTAACACATTATTTCTAATGTGCCTGTTTTTATACAATTCTCATATGTAGATTTAAACATTCAAATGAATAACTATTTAATACAATTTTAGTTAAAATATATACGGACATTAAAACATTATATTTTACTACGGTGGCAAGAAAATATGGAAACAGAATTTCTAAAATAAAATTACTTTCGTCATCCATATTAAGCATTTCTATTTCAACACGGATTGTTTGATTTCGATTGAATTTTCAAAAAATAAAAATAAAAAGATATGGTATTTTATTAATAATTAAGAAATGTTTATTTTTATATTTCATGTGTAATATGTTATATTAGTGTCGAAATGCCAAAAGCGAATCATTTTATATTAATCAATATTTTCTTGTCAATGTATTAATTATATACTCTACAATATTTATACAATACATACAATACATTTAAATATAGGATAAACATAATTGAAAGAATATTATACTAAGATAAAACACGAGTAGTTTTTACAAACATTCTTTATATATATATTACCATGTTAGAAATGAAGTGTTGATCAAAGAATAGTAATTTAAAGCTGTATATAATTCATATGTCAATTTTTTCTTTTTTTTGTAGATATATTTTCAACATTCAAAGTAGAAACCTTGTTAAAATATACTTTTATTACGTATTTTTATATATACAAAATAACAAAAATTTTGATCTTAGTTTAGAATATTCATTATATTTACAGGTAGTAGGAAGTAATGAAACAGCATGTGCCTCATACTTGCAATGTTTATTAAATCATGTAGATAATGCGTTAAGATAGAAACTGCTTATAAATTGTCTTATGCAATAACTTATTTAATATCTACAATTGCAATGGCAGCTTAATACATATCATTTTAAATAGTTACATAATATCTAGTAAGTCTTTTTAATTTTACAGATTTCAAGTATAGAAATAATATATATTTAAACAACAATTTTTCCAATAATTTTCAATAATTTTCAATAAATATTTAAGGGAAATATCTTATAATTTTGTATCTACTTTTTTCAAAAATCCTAATCCTCCAAAGAATTAAATAAATTAATAAAATATTTTATTCATTTATTATTTTATTGTCATGACTTATATTTGAATCATTCTTATTAGCATCTTCTGTATTTAAGGACTTTGCTAATTCATACAAATATGAAGTATTTTTCCTTATTTCTTTCTCTAAATTTAATTTCTTTTCTTCTTTTTCTTTCATCAGTTTAGTTTTTCTTGGACTTACAGGTTTCACAAGTCCCTCGCTAACTTTGTAAATAATGCTTGTGCTATCTTCTAATTTAAAAACAAAGGTTATCCTGTTACAAAATACATACATCAATTCATAAATCACCATCACGTAAGTATACGAATAATTTTTATTCTTACTGTTTAACATTTAAATCTTTTTGTATCTTCTCAATCATATCAAGAGAGATATTAGATGATGTTGGCCAAGGTACATATACTTCTGTTTGTGAATTTATATTTCTTTTTACTTCCAAATATAACAAATCTAGATTTTCATTGTATTTGTAATTAACTTCCCAATATCTTTTTGCTTCACACAATTCAATATAAACATAAAATGTTGTGCTTATTTTTATAGGATCAGTACAACCCAACTTTCCAATATTATAATACTAATGGCATTAAAGTAAATTAGTTTTAGAACTAATGCTTGAAATTATTTAAATGCTGTTACACTTACACTAGGATGATATACGTCGTACATGATTCGGAAGAAGTAATTCCTATTTAAGAAGAAAATTAATATTTCTGTTAAATAAAATCAAATTAACCTTATATAGTTCATGTCGTTTGAAAATAATCCTTTAACCTTACTACTGATACTAAATTGACACAGTTAGATTATATTTATAGTTTAAATATTTAACAATCATAAAAATAAAACAATATATGTTGAGGATATACTATTACAAAAGTTCATAAATTAATTCTTCTCATTAATTTTCTTTGCAAATTTTGCTTCCATGGACACCACAACGCTATAACCATCTAGCGGAGAAATGGCAGAACTAATCTCTTTACGACAAATTAAAAAAATCAAATTTAACAGAATAAAAGGTAAATTTCGAATTTTCTAAGATCTAGATTAAAGTTTTAACTCATCGAAATTTTCTCCGTGCAATATTATGTCGATTTTACGTATAAATTGTTCAAAGTCTATTTTTGTTATAGTGGCTCCATTTAATGACAAATTATCTGATATTGACAGGTGGTAAAAATTAAATAAGTTGTTATCAATTACAATTAATATTAATTACATTAGTATCTTTATTGAAATTCAAAGTTTCAATATCATTCTACAATTACTTTAATAATAATTATAAATTAATAATTCAATAATTTAATTGAAAGACTGAAATTTAAAAAACATAACCTTATTTCTTTTTATGTATTTTTTAAAATTAATGTTTGAAGTGAATATTACCAGAAAAATTTTTTTATGATTAAATTTACTGTAATTTGTAACGGATGCATAAAATCTGCTGTACAATTTTTTTTCCCTTATTTTATTCAATTTGTCATTAGAATCGAACCGTTAGGAATGTTAAGATTTTTTGAATTTTTGTCGTTCCATTCGATTCAATAAAATAGCGAAAAGAGATCGCACAGCTAGTTTTAAGAGCTCACTATAAAGGAAATTTCAATCTTCAAGATCATGAAAAAAATTGTTCAATGATGGAAAAATTTCTTCTTTTCGGCGAAATAGATGAATTTTTACAATTTTTGAGAAGAAAGTATTATTTTTACACTCGTTTGCATGATGTAAAAATTAATATCTTTGAAAGAAACGGATTCAGGATTGTTAAAGTAGAAAATTCGCGCTAAAATAAAACCAAGTTAATTATTCTACATTTTCTTTTTTTTTTTATGAAATTATAACAGTTTTAAAGTATTGACAATTTTTCATGTAGTGTATGAATATTTTCGTTTTTTTCTAAGAATTTCTCATGAATTTTGTGTATTTGAGTTAGACCAGAGTTTTTTATTTTTTATTCCAACATTTCGTGCAAAATGCGTGCGTATTGGGTTCAAATTAATTAAAGATTGCAGCGCCAACGGCGGAATACGTTTCCTGGGATTCTCGAACCCGAAATCGATAATTCTTATGATCGATTTTTAACCAGGAAGTAGCGGTTAAAAATGGCGGAAAGAAGCATACCTCATAAAGACGAAAGTATTGTCCAGAAAAATTATCCAGAAAGAAATCCAGAAATTCTCAGGTAAAAATATAAATCAATAGTTGTTGAATTTGTATTTGTGTTTTAAATTTTTAAGATAAAACATGCGTTTTTGGTTCCAACTCAAGGCAAGATTTAACCAGATAGTCATTACATATAATTTTCAACAATTAAAGAATTAATAGTCCTCAAATAAATGTCCTTTCCAAAGTACTCTGTTGATATTTTCGAAATTAATGTCGGTAAATAGATTGGCAATATAATTATGCGACATCTAGAATAAAGTATAAGAACTTGCAAGTGAAACTAGTTTTCAAATACATGAAAAGATGGCGCGCTTATTACTTACTAAATTTCACGAAATACCTCTGACAAATCTATCTGAAAATATATACACGGTTACAGTTAATCAAGTAATTATTTATTACTATTTCAAATAAATATTTATACAATTTATTTAGAAAATCTACGATCAAATATTTAATATCTTTATTGATAGTACGAGGAGAACGATATATTGCAATTTCTATTTACTACGACTTAGGTACATCAAGTGTAGTTACATTCTTAAAAATATTTTACAAAAAATTGTGCGCAATACACCCTGTATAAAGGAATTGCAATCTTGCTTTCACACTTACGATAAAATATATATTTGGCTTTTGTGCAGAGAACACATTTGTAAACCTAAAGCATTGCTTCCCAGTGTTAAATTAAGGCACAAAACCTACGGTAACAATTACATTAAAGAGCATGTCATTTCTGCAACGTAAGAAAATATCATCGAGAAATTATAATAATCTTCTTTAAAAATCAATTCCTTTCAAACCCCTGTCGCGTCAATTGATCGATTGGTACGACAGGTGATCTTTCACGAAAAACCTTGTTCCTCATTGTTTAATATAATTCACGAGAAGCTACTCCAAATACGCCTAACACTTAAAGCTAATCAATTAC